GAGGGACGCAGCAAGTTCGATTATTCAGGCGGTCCAGTGGGCGACGAGAGCGCGGGAGGCAGGCAAACGGGGGGGGATTATGCAAAAGAGCGGAAGAGCGGAAGAGCGGAAAAGAGGGGGAGCTAGAGGGAAGGGCGCGGGGGGGAGGACCGAGCCCTGCCGGCGGTGGGCCGGCCGAGCACGCCCTTATAAATGGCGAGCTTTCTTCCCGCCTGGCCTCGGCGATTGGGCGCCCGGGGGAGGGTGGTCTCGCCAACGGACCGAACTCGCGCCCTCAGAGAAATACCCGAAGGGCGTAATATCATTCCCAACTGCCGGAGCGCCAGCACGCGCCTGGACAACGAGAACCGCTGGTCGGTGCCCCATTCAGAACGGGCATATATATTTTCGCAAGGACATGGATGTTTCATCTGCCAATGGAGAGGACACCAAGGCGGTTGGGGAGAGGGTGGAGGGAGGGGCGGCGGAGGGGAACACGGGCACAGCGCCGAGACGCCAATCTGGAAGGTGGCGACCGGCCGCAAGGTGACAGGGTGGTGGTGGTGGTGGTGTGGTGCAGGTTTACCACGCCCGGTTGTCCCCCCTCCCCTGGCGGAGCTGGTTTCCCCCTCCCGGCTCCCCTCCCGCGTCCGGTTCTCAACAAGCAAGAGGGGGGGGGGGATTGCAGGGGTCGAGGGAGGAAGAGAGAGAGAGAGAGCACCCGTGCGACACACGGTGCCGGCGCAACTGTGCATGGCCGGGTGTGGGCAGGGTCTACTACTCGGCCCAGGGACGAGGAAGGGGAGGGGGGGGCGGGGGGCAATGTGCGGCGGCCACCGCGGAGGGTCACAGGCTCCGGCGCTTCTCGATGGCGTCGAACTGCACGACCAGCTCCGAGCGAGTGGCCTGCAGGACGGGCGGCGGCTCCATGATGCGATAGAAGCACTGCTCGCTCTGCTCGTCATTGGAGGTGGGCACGTCCTGCGCGTCGCGCGTGATCCAGCGCTGGAGAAGAATGTGGAAGCGCCAGTTGAGATCGTAGCTGTGCCGGGAGGGGAGGGGAGTCAGTCGGCATAAAGTGGAGAAAGAAGGGAGCAGGAGTGGCCGGCAGAGGGGGGGGGGGAAGCCCCGGACGCACAGGCGTTGCGCGGCGGCGATCTGGGCCTTCTCCCCGGGGAAGGCGTAAAAGATGTAGAAGAGGCTGCTCTCATCGAGGATGTTGGGGATGATGTCCAGCAGGGGCTTGACTGGCCGGGGGGCAGCGGGGTCGTCCTTGGCCGGGGAATGGCCATCGGATGAGAGGGCGTCCGATCCAGAGGCACTGGCCTCCCGGGTGAGGGGGATTTGGTAGCATGCCGGCAGGCGGAAATCCGGCTCGATGGGGATCTTGTCGAACCAGGGGGAGAAATTGGAGTACAGGGGCCTGGGAAGGGGCGGGAGGTGGCGCCGGGGGATGGGGGACGGTGAGAGGGCCGGGGGAGGGGGAGAAGGGGCCGGCATGGCGGCCGAGGGGCTGGCGCGCGGTCTGGGCGGAGCATGTGAGCGCACTCTCTTGAGTTGAGATCCAGGCCAAGGTCGGTCAGGTCCAGCCCGACGGCGCAGATGGTGACATCATCGTTGTTCATTTGAAGGACATCGAGCAACCCCATCAGGCCGTAGGGGCTGGAGGTGGAGGTGGAGGAGGAGGAGGTGGCGGCACCGACCGAGCCGGGCAAGATGTGGCCCCCGGCGCCGGGGTGATGCGGGTGGTGCGGGTGATGGGCGTGGTGCGGGAGGTGGGCGGCATGGTGCGGGAGGTGGGCGGCATGGTGGGGATGGTGCGCGAGGCCTGATGACGACACGCTGTAGGGGTCGCCCCGGAGGAGGTCATCTTTCCCGGTGGCCCGCGGCCCGCCTGCGGCCGGAGAGGCGCCGGCGCGCGAAGGAGCCATGCACATGGGGGTGGGGGAAAGGGCAGGGCGGGTGGGGACCTCGTGTCAGAGCGCGAGAAGGAGCCCCCAAGGGTGGACAGGCATGGGCGCGGACGCACCAGGCGGGGCCGAGCTCACTTGTGGCAGGGCGGGAAATTCATTTGGACAGCTGGCCAGGGGGATGGCTGGTGACCGCGAAAGGGAAGGAGAGAGCGGGGGGGGGGAGGGGGGAGGGGGGAGGAATGCGCGTGCGTGCGTGCATGCGTGCGTGCATGCGTGTAAGTGGCCCGTGTCAACAGGCGCCCCAGAGCGGGGTTGACGGGGAAAGGGCGGCTTGGACGCACCCGGTTTGCTAGGTCCGCTAGCGGGGAAATTGGAACTCATTGAGTAAGGGAGCGACAGGGTGGCGCAGTGTGTCTCTCTCGACCGCCGATCAGGGGTGCGGGGGGGGGGGGAGCGAAGGAGAGGGGGAGTCCGAGCAGGAGGGCCGGGTGGGGGCAGCGGTCTTGGACGCCCGGGAGGGGGGGAGGGAGAGCAAAAAAGGGGAGGCGGGAGCACACAGACGAGGCG